AAATCCTACTAAATTTCACAAAATTGAACTGATGATACTTCATATTACTGATAATACATTCCTGTAAATTTATAACAAATATTTCGATATATCAGAAATACAGAAAATGAAAAAATAGTAATAATGAGGGACGAAAAAAAATAAAGTAAACTAGTGGTGTATGGCATCGTACCTTAAGGTGAATAATGTAAACTTTCCGTACTTTAATAAAATATTCGAAGAATAAAATTTAGTAAAAAACTATTTTTTGGAAATTAAAAAAAAATTCTTTTCCCGAAAGCAATCGTTTCGTCAACACAAGCAGCAATTATTCAAGTCAGATGCTTAGTTCTCTCAAAAACTGGCATTTTTGCATATTTAGCTTCGTATCTCCAAAACGGCTAGACCTTTTGCCAAAATCTAACTACCATTTCTCCCCATCATTACAAATTGAATATTTGTTTGGAAATTCAAATCAGGTACTTCGTTCTCTCAAAAACACGATATCTAATGTCTGCACTCTTTGTTCCGTATCTCCGAAACGGCTAGACCCGCCTTTGTCAAAAACTAATCAGGACATTTCTCTATCAATAGGAACTGAATATTATTTCAACCATTCAAATCGGTTGATCTGTGCGCCCGAAAACGTAGACCTCCAAAACGTGAAGATATGCAAATATCCTATTTTTAATATCGATTTTTGGACAATTACAATAACTTACACTACGGGAAGTTAATTAGTAATGTAAATATTTTTTTACTATTTCCAATTCCGATAATTAACATTTCTCCACAAGTTTTTATTTCCAATAATATTTTCGTTAAAATATTATGATCAAAATAAGAACAAATTATATTCACATTTTACATAAGTTACAAACATTAATATTTATTTCAGGTTATGACAAAGCCGATAAAATGACCCGGCGCGTTATCGCGCCTTACCTTCACGTTGTGAGACGAGGAACCGCGGCACAACCGGAAAAGAAGGTCGCAATATATGGAAAGACTTTCCAAGAAATGCTTCGAAAAAAACCTAGTGTTTTAATAAAAGATCTTTCGGAGTATTTATCAGACTTCGTCGACCTGCCTGCACTTCTGCATGACACGGCTGATCTTCTCAAGTTTGTGACAAATAGTACAGGTAATAATTGAATTTGTAAAAAAATATTCATAAAATTTTTAATCTACTATTAAAAATTTCTCCAATAGAAAACGCAGCCCTTTATTTAGAATTCAAAATCATTATGTCAACATTTATAAATTATTGATGTTTGTTCTATTAAAAAAAATATTATTACAATTTTCAATTAATTTCTGGTACATAGAGTATTGTACTCTATATAATGCTGTATTAGAATTGCAATGTTGATATGCAAGTATCATTTTTAAAAATCTGATTTGTAAATTATTATATTGCTTGCTTTTTAGGTGTCGTAGTATATATGGTTGATAAATTCACCAAAGAAATTTATCAAAGTCCGAAATATTTACTAAACAACAAAAGGCACAGAATTTCCTGGAAAATAGGTAACGTTTCTATAATTTGGAAGTAGAAGATTTTGACTTGATTAATAAACCTTTAAATTGCATTTTATGCTATACGACTTTGAGCTATAAACAATAAGTTAAAATCAATATTATATGGGATATGAAATATATGGGATAACGTAGTACCTACTTGCTTTTAAAAATTTTTGTGTCCGATAAATTGAAATAAATACATTTATATTTGAAGTATTGTAGAGTTTGGTTAGAAAAATCATATAAAATAAATTCAACAACAAAATAATAAAGTTGTATTTATACGATAATCATCAATAAGACAGATGCTGATGGATCTCATGAGTGAAAACACAATTTACTTTTCTGTCTTAAATAAGCCTGCATAGACGTTGAAAGTCTAAAACAATAATAATTATTTTGATATCTTATCGAATTCAATATTTGGTTTTTCTTTAATAGAAAGAGGTAAAACAATAGCGGCATTTGTGGCAGCCACCAGAAATTTTATCATGACGAATGATGTTTTGGGAGATGAGCGTTTTCCCGAAGGAGTAGGATGGAAAGGACCTACAGTCAAAGCTGTTCTTTGTGTCCCAATCTTAACCCAGGAAGATGAATGTTTTGCTATTGTTGAACTCTACAAAGAATCTGAAGAAGTGTATGACGATGTAAGAAATTGTAAATGGAATAACATATCTTAAAATATCATACACCAAATATCTTTCCTTGCAATGATCATTTCAAAATGAAACAACCTTTTATACCGTTAGTTTAAATCATAACTTTTTTACGATTAAGATATATCAATATATATATAAACTCATTTAATTTTTTTTTTTAAGAGAGACCTTCAGGTGGTGATGGGTATAACTGGGTGGATGGGAGCAGCAATCCAACAAAACCAGATGCGCCTAATTCTTAGAAAACAACAGCAGCTAAATGATTATTTACTGGAATTCACAAGCAAATACTTCGGTGATAACGTGCAAATTGAGCAAATGATTTCAGAAATTGTTGTATGTAAAAAAAAATCTTGAAAAATAATAAAAATCAAAGGTTTATAATAAAAACGTTGTATTTACATTGTAGAATTTTGCTAAAACTACCCTGGGTGGAGAACGCGGTTCATTCTATGTTGTGCACAAAGATAAAAATAATAATGTCGTAGCTGACTTATATGACGAGGCTTTAGATGCCAGCATTAACAAACTATTGAAACGGAAACGAGCTGTGAAGTATGAAATATTATACATTTTCTAAAAAGTGATTTTATTAATATATATTTCTGTAAATAGATTCAATAAAGCGCGCCATTTGGCAGCTTTAACTGCACGCGCTGGAAAAATTATAAATATTCGAGATACCAACACTGACCCAAGATTCAGCACTGATTATGATATTGTTACTGGACAAATTACTAGAACTATTCTTAGTGCCCCAATCATGACGGAAGAAAATGTACTAGGTATATCAAAAAATAACATATTAAGGAGTGTTAAGTGAAACATTCCGCTTGAAAGTAAACATCAGAACGCAGTAGCTTGGTTTTTTAAATTTAACTTGTAATAAATTATCGATTATACGATTATTAAAATATCGATACTTAGATTTAATATTATTTTATAAAATTTTAAATTTTATAAAATAATATTGCAGGAGTGATACAAGTAATGAATAAAGTGAAAAGTGAATATTTCACAAATGAAGACGAAAAGTTCATAAGTACATTTGCAACTTATTGTGCTCTTGTACTCCAGTATGCTCGAATAAACGATGCAAAAACAAAAGGGGTAGTAAAAATATTTCATTTCATAAAATTATATAAATTTATATATGTATGAATGTATATAAATGATTTTTTTCATAGGACAGCAAAAACGCTATGTATAGAGAAATGTTAACATATCATATGAGACCAACAGTTGCCGAAGTTAAGCCGTTTTTATCGCAACCATTATTACCTACCCAGCCAGAAGGAATTATGAAGTAAATTTACTAAGAATTCACTTTCTTTTACGATATTTTACGTTACAATTTTGAAAAATGAGAAAATATTATTTAAATTTATTAACAGCCATATAATCAACACTTCAATATTTTATGAAAAATATTAATCCGTTATTTTAGTTTTAGTTGGTATATTAGTCCAAAAGAAACTGGGCACATGTCTCAAATTCTCTACTACATGCTAACATCAGTATGTGGCGACCGTTTCCCAAATATAAAGAATGTAGCTAATTTCCTAATAATGATTCGAAAATCATATCGCGAACAACCTTTCCACAATTTCGAGCATGCCTTCAATGTAACACACTGCATGTATACAATTCTTATCAGGAACTTGCAAATATTCACAGATACAGAGGTAATGTCCTAAATTAATTTGGTTCATTTAATTCATGAAGTCCTTCAATCAATATATGCATATCAACTATTTTTAGTTATTGAGTCTAATGATAAGCGCAATGTGCCATGATTTGGATCACAGATCATACACGAACAACTTTCTACGTATTACAAATCATCCACTTTATCAGTTGTATGAAAGTTCTACATTAGAACATCATCACATATTTGTTGCCAAACTAATTCTGGAAGTAAGTTCAAATTATATGCATATATGCACTTAATAAGCTTCAATATAAATAGAAGATAATGGAATACTCTTTACATAGATATCGGGATTGCTAGATTTTCTATCAAAGCATGAATATCAGCAAATGATGACTCTATTAGAAGAAAATATATTAGCAACTGATTTGGCAGTATATTTAAGAAATAGCTCGAAACTAGCAAAAGTTTTACTAGCTGACAATTTTGATCTAGATGATGAAATGGATAAGTATTTATTAAGAAGCATTATAATGACGTGCTGTGATTTGTCAGGAAGCTGCAAACCTTTCAAAATATCCAAAATCATTTGTCATGGATTAGTGAAAGAATTCTATCATCAGGTATGTATAAAATTGCTTCTAATGCATACTAAGCTCATAGTTCAACTATTTTAGGGTGACCTGGAAAAGGATATGGGCTTTGTCCCTTTGCCAATGATGGATCGTCTGAAACATGATAGAATCCCAGAAGAACAAATTCGGTTTATGTCTATCATTTGTCAGCCAGCAAATGAATTATTAGTGTCCTTACTACCAAACTGCGAGCCAATTTATAATTTAACCAAGTAAGAAAAATATGCATATTATAATAATATAACCATATTTGAATATAGTATTTGCATAATTGTTTTTAATGGCAGGATATAGAATCCAAATATGTACAATTTGTTCACAATTATTAATAATTTAAACAATATTCACAGAGAAAATATGGATACTTGGTATTATGTTCAACAATCCAGACATGAAAGAGAATGGAAACCAGAAGAATCATATCCTCGTAAGAAGAGAAAAGAAAGTAATAAATAAAACTCGTTTAATTAAAAATTAATTAATCTCTTACGGATACTCTAAGATTATATGAATAATAAAATTGAAATTGTAAATATGATCATTGTCTATTTTTATTTAATCTTAATGAAAATAATTAAAAGTTTAATCTTTTTCAAATCACTTACAACACATTATTTGTGACTCTTTTTTGACTTATGTTTGTGTTTTCTGTCATCATCCCGCTTTCTGTGCTTTTTATGTTTATGCTTTTTGTCTTCATCGGAACTTGAAGAATCTGATGAACTACTTTCAGATATTTTTCGTTTACTTTTTGACTTTTTTGACTTTTTCAAACTGCGTTTCTCTAACTTTTCTAATCGCCTGCAAAAAATATTGCTTATTTAGATATAGTTATCAAAATAGGCTTAGTCTACAGAATTATATACTTACTTCAACAAGTCCTTCTTTTGCTTAGTTGTTAATCCTTTTATAAATTCTTTTTCTGTGTGGTCATTAGATTCATGAGATACTGAAGGGGTTTCTTCAATAAGGTCATGATGTGATGTTTTTGTTGCAATTTTTTTCAATGCCAGACCATCAGAAAGCATTTGCTGCTCTAATGACAAATTATCTCTAACAGATGTAGATTCATTAATCAAATTCTTGGAATGTATTTCCCTTGCTTCTGACATGCTGAGAGCATACATTGAACATTCCTTATCTAAAAAATATAATTTAGTATGTAAAGTGGTAAAAACCTATTGATTTTAAAATGCATACCATTTTCATTTTTTATTACCTGTGTTGATATGTCCCCATTTGTGGCACTTAATACATCGAACATTTCGAACTTGAATGCCAAAAGGCTGATCTCTAACTTGCACATCACCTTTGCAATAACTTTCACGAGGCGCCTGATATTTTCGTTGCCATTCAAAACGTACTTCTTCAGTTCCAATTGGGTCATTTGTTGTCTCTTTTCTAGTTCCTGGTGGAGGCTCATACATAAAGTTAACGGATAACTTATCTTTACTATCTTTACTTAGCATAGCCCTATAAGATAATTAATTTAGTAAGTTAAATTCTAAAGCATCATAAAATTTATAAAATTCTTACTTGTTATCATATAAATCCTGCTCTTTTTCATATTGCATTCGTAATTCTTCTTGCTTCTTTTATATGCTTCTGACTTCTGTTCTGCCATCCATACCTAGAAATATAAAATAATTTAGATGTAGTCGATTTAGAAACTTCTACTAAAAATTAATAAATAACTCTGTGTGAATACAATTCATACATCTACGTTAGCCTCAAATTTAATATCAATTTAAAACTAAGTATAAAATGCTTTCGTGAATACGGTGAATACTAACTAAACATAAAATATTACAATATAAAATTTTCAACAGGTTTAAATCAAAATTAGATTAAAAATTTTATATTTGAATTAAATTCATTTGTGAATGAATAAATAGAAAATAACTATAATAATTATTATTAAGTTTTTAATCATTGAATTCACAGACATTGAAAGTTAGAGGACATAAATGAAATAGGCGAATTCAAGAGAGAATTAGATTTAGGAGTAGGATAATTTAAAAATAATTGTGAACGCGGAGATAGCCTAGGAACATTAAAGGATAGTTGGTTAAGAATAAGAGGACAGTCTATAGCATTATTGCAAAGTTGAAATAAGAACTAATTAGTACAGATAAATCGACGTGTGTCAAGAGAAGGTATACCAAATTCGTTTAATAAAGTGTTGTAGACAAAGCCACGTTCAAGAAAAATTATGTATGTTTTATAATAAAGATATTTTAGAAATTTAGGCTGAACTTTGCATCATAGCTGTTATTCTGATAAGGATACCAAATGTTCGATCCATATTCTAACTTAGGACATACATTTGCATAGTACATGCAAAGAAGTGCATTATTTGAATTCAATTCTTTACAATTTCTCAGTATCATTACTACAGATTTATGTGCTCTATTACAAATATCAGCTATACGACAAACAAACCAGAACCAAATAAAACTCCTAAGTCTGATATTTTATTACATCTATCAATACAGGTGTCAGAGATTTTATATTTAAAATGTATTGAAACGAGCTTATATGAAAAACTAAGAATCTTGCATTTTGAGGTATTTAAATGTAGTTTATTATAGACACACCAAGAGTAGAAAGAGTCAATTTCAGAATTTATTTTGAGATATAGTTTGAGATCATCTGCGAACAAAAAATGTGGACAGCTAATAATATCAGATGTCATTAATAAAAATAATAAATAGTAGAGGACCAAGAATGAATCCCTGAGGAACACCTGAACTGATATTTTCAATATTGCTCAAGAATCCATTGAGATAGACAAACTATTTACGATTATGAAGATAACTCTTCAAAAAATAAAATAAGTGAAGAATTAAGACCAATCTTAGATAATTTAGTAAGAAGAATATTATGATCATTTTACTGAAAATTTCAAAATTTTTACTGAAGTCAGTGTAAATAACATCAACTTGTCCATTAGTGGCAAGATATTCAGCTATAAATTGTTTAATACAGATCAGATTTGTAATTGTAGAACGGGCAGGCATGAATTCATGTTGATTATTAGAAATTAAAGATTTAACAGATGGAATTAGTTTTCTATTTATAATGGTTTGTTAACTAATAATATATCTATTATCATAATTTTATACCAGTGATAGTAAAAAACCTTACCCTTTTTAAATTATCTCGAGATGCTGGATGAAAGAACTTTTGTTCATATAATTATTAAATCCTTTACCCATTTTGAATGAAATATATTAACACCTAATTCAAGAAATATGTCAACTTATGTTCAATTTGATATAATATTTGTGGCCATTGAATTAAATAAAATAAAACAAGTAAACTAAAGGAATTTGACAGTTTGTGGTTATAGATAAATTACTTTTCCAAATATGACAGCTAAATGACTTTCTCCAGGCTCACCAACACAAATGCAAAATAAAAAAAGAGTACAAATGTTTTGTTACGTTGGTGCTCTTGATATGTTTGTCAACATGACATTATCACTAGCTGTCACTTTAGGTATTCACCGACTCCACCTTTTTAAAAACTTGAGTCATTTTTATAACATTAGATTAGTCAAATCTCTTATCTGCAATTAAATTTTATATAAAAAATGGCTAAAAATACATCTAGTTCTGCATTTCGAAAAATAGATGTAGATCAATATAATGAAGACAATTTTAAGGAAGAAGAACCAGAGTCAGCACAAATAGGACCTGATGAAAATGAAATTAATACATTTCTTAACCAATATCCTTTTCAAATGCTTGTATAAATATAATTTTTAGTAATTTAGTTAGATAATTTTCCTTAACTATATATTTGCACGGGAAGGAATATTGATGCATTAAAAAGTGTTCTTCAAAATGCACCCTTAGGTTGCAAAAGTCAACAAGTTAAAGTAATGTATATTAAATCATTCTAATGAGAATCTTACATATTTATTATAAGATAAATGTTAACGGTTTTAGTTTCATCATTATTTTAGCTTTATTTTTTTCTATTAAACGACATTATCACTTTATTCATTAAGAAATGTGCTTTTGGTTAATAATGTAAAAGTTTATATTACACAAGTGAGATTCTCCTTATTATTTTATTATTTTGATTGCACATCTAATATTACCTTCGTTTTAGGATGCCGCCTTAAATTTAACATTAAGAGTTCTTCTATCTATCAAATCTTCACAAATTGAGGAAGCCGTTTCTGCATTAGATATAGCATTAATAGATATTTTAATGAAATATGTATATAGAGGTTTTGAAATACCATCAGAAGGATCAAGTGGACATTTATTACAATGGCATGAAAGGGCATATGCAATTGGCGGAGTAGGAAGCATTATAAGAGTACTTTCTGATACAAAAGAGCATAAATAATTGTGGGTTAAATCTACATAGATACAATCAATGTGATGCTGATAAATATTTTGAACCATTGATTTTTTTTTTAAAATTTATTATTGAAGAATACACTACATGCATAATCTTAATTTATTGCATTAGTTCACGTGGAAGCTCAAGATTTTGTAATAACATATAAGTTCATTAAATAAAAGCATCAAATACTATTTGTTTTTGATTATTCATTATAGATTGCCATATATTTTATCATATCTTTTATGAAGTCTTAACACTTAAAAATACCAATACCACTCCAATAGCCATACAATTTATATGGCTGTAACAAGCCATAAGCACCAAATTTATTTTATTAGGTCAAATACTAAATATAATTATTATGAATAGAAAATATCAAAGTATTTTCAAAAGAAACTGGCAAGGTGTGGTGAATATCAGTCTTTTTCTCACATTTGTATGAAATGTTTATAAGAATTACAGTTTTGATTTTTGTGTTCTTAATAGAATATCTTGCTATCATATAGAGAATCTTCTAAAGCAACTCTGAATCGATCTGCACTTGTGATTGAATTTGATTTAAATGCAGAAATGCCAAAATTCATATCATTATCACGTGGATTGTAGCAACAGGCATATCCATCTTCAACGAGTGGTCCATAGCACATAAAGCCATCACATTTGGATGCAACCTATTAACAAAATATTAAAAAATAAAAAATTATATAAGATAAAATATGGTACCTAAAAATGCATACCTGGCTAGTTGATATTCGCAATATGTGTACTTCTTGTAAAACTTGGATCTTTGTATATTGATGGTACTTCAATACCATTTTCTATAGCAATTAATTTTAATCCCATAAATGCCTATCCACCACCAAATCCAGAAACAGCCTAAACATAATTCATATTTTAGTTTATGATATAAACTAGCAAAATTATATAAAATTTTAACCTGAACAGAATAGTCTTTTGTCCTTGAACTGCTGCTCTTAACTTATTTATCTTTTGTTCAATACCACTTCTTCTCGCATCCAACATTGTTTTACAAACTCAATTCAATTGATTCTTGAGCATGATCGTATTGTTTCCGTTCTGCCATGTAGATACATTCTTGTTGCGGCTGATTCATATGTGCTCCAGGTGTTTTATGCATTCTTTAATCAGTAGTAATCAAGTTATATATATATATATATATATATATATATATATATATATATATATATGTCTAAGTTTACCTATAAAAGCTAATTGTTGAGCCATTTGAATAAAACTGTCAGGGCTCAATTTTTGAGTTTTGATAAAGTCTTTGCCAAAACCTCTAAATGTGAAACAATCATTTCTAAATCATCAACCAGTTTATCTATATTGGATCAGCTTGGGTCATATATGATGATACCTCATCTGATATTTTAAATTTTAATTCTTCCGGTTTCACCACAGAGGAGACATCTGGCACTCGTGATATTTGTGGGCATCAATGTAATTAACAACATGATCTGTTAATACTGCAATTGGTTGTCCTTCAGCAGGTGAATGCTCATAAGTTAGACCATTTAAGCCATCTGTGCCTATTACAAACTGAAGGAAATCTGATCACATTATCTATCTAGCAGTTACAAAAAAAAATATTAAATTTAATTCAAGAATAAAAATGTCTGTGAAATATAATGTTATCTTTTTTTTGTTACAAATCAATTTTAAGGCCAAACAAATCAAATCTATCTAATCAACTTGTAATCTTAACAGTCCTTATTATTAAAGTCAGATAAATCTCATTCACAATTTTAACCAGATATTACCTGAATTGTTTTGTCGTACCAACGATTACCAGCATTTTATTGAACTACCCCACCATGGATACATGTTTACCAGCAGTAGTCTGTCTATTGACATCATTATCAGCAGGCATTTCATTATCCAAGCAAACAACAAATAAAGACTTTTCAATTTCAGATAAAGCTTTTGAATTTTCTATAAAATTTAAAATATACTGTTAATTTATATGTACAATTTTCATGAAAAACTCAAATTAGAGAATGATTAACCTTTCATTAGTAGTTCATAAGCTTTGCCCCAAGTATCACGATGTTCCGTTGTCAATATGCCTATTCCAGCACCTTTATTTTGGGATTGATTAATCACAATATTTAACTGGCTAAGAATTTGATCTTTACTTAATGGCGCATTATTATCAAATACAACTACTTTGTAAATCTAGAAAACGTTTTCAAGTCGTACTTATATATTTATATTCCTATTTTAATGAGTTTAAAGGTTTGTTCCTTATTAATAATTCATTATATTTACTTACATTGCTATTGTACATAACAATAATGTGTTTTGAAGTAGGATTAAATGATAAAGAATCTCTTGTTAAGCCAGGAATTCTACAGGTTCCAAATATTTTTGTGTATTGAGCCATATCCAAAGGATATTTTCCCATCTTATCCAGTGGTAAAGCATTTCTAAAATGTACAAATATATTTGAAAAATCATTCAAAATAATAATAGTTTTGAATTATAATTTATTTTATACTTGTCTATTAATATTTTGTAGTCAATGGCACACACAAATTAGTTTGGCTGTGAAATCAATTCTCTCACTATCATTAAAGAATGTTCTTTCTGGAAATACAAGACCAGGACTGGAATGAACTACGACAGGCCATCTAAAGTCTAAGTAGGCACTGTGAAGCCACCAATTAGCTAACCAGCTATCGGTATTTGCTGCGCGTTTGTTTAATAAAGCCTAAAATTAAATATTGATGGTCAAATAGCAATTTGTACTGTTTTTATAATATAATTTTATTTTATTATTTATAAGCTTCAAAATTTAAACAAATTGAAATATTAAGTGTGTCAGTAAATACAAATGATTGAATGTTATTACCTATAATAAACACCCAAAAATCATACTATACAAATCAGCAAAGAGCTCAATCTTTCATATGAATTATGAAATAATATTTCAATGTGCAATACATATATAATACTGATTATGAGTGATTGTATCGACATATGAAATAATGCAGAGAAGACATAAAAAAAGTAAATGAGAAAATGGAAAGAACTATATTTCACTATATAGCTAGTATAACGCTCAAACTTTACTTCTTATACTAGAACAAGAATTTTTATTGGTATTTTTAGGAAATATATATATATATATATATATATATATATATATATGCATAATCATATATTACCTGATAACTATTAGCAAATATTAAATAAATGAATAATTACATTACCTGCAACTTTTGTCCACTCCTCCTTCTGCACCAAACTCCTTTATTAACTCTGTGGTTTTACTAAGCTCTGACTCTGTTAAAAAAGGAGTTTACTGACTTCAAATACTTTTCCAGTGTATTTTTCAATGGTGGCACGGGAAAAAAAGGTAGTCCTTGCGGGTTATCCTTATGCACAGGTTGAGGTTTGGCAGATATGCTATAAGCTACTATATTTTGATTTACTTTCATGCAGCCTTAAAATATAATAATAATAATAAGAAAATATTATTTTTTATTCATATTAAATATCTATTTACCATATTGTTTGTCAATCTCCTTAAAACTCTATTCATACCGAAAATTTACAATTCTTTGTAGAATTGATGAATAACAGATGAAGAAACTTTCACTCGCGCCAACGAAAACTAGTTATAAATATTTTATTACTGAAACCATTTTCCGTGCAAAATACTAATAAGTTAATAATCTGATATAAAATTTCTTCTAACAAGCTTTAAGTGACTGTCAAAATGACTGCCAATTATTATCATAACAAAGTCCTAAAAAGAAGCAATGTCATAGTAGACGCCGTAAGATGATAAAATAAATTATTTTGAAGATAATATATTTTTAACATAATATAAGATGATACTTATAATAAATTACGTTCGTTATTATTTTATAACGAACGATTTTGTAGGTTAACCAGCAGTTCAAAATATTTATTATTTTGTACTTGACATAACAAAATCGGCGGACATATCAGAAAATCTAAAGATAAATTTTTAATTTAAATTAATATCGTCATTTTTGATGGATTAATAATAATTAATTTTTTTACAACTAAATTTAATTGAAGATAATACTTTTACATGATTTTTATGTAGGAAAATCTAGCATTTTCATATAAAGTATAAAA